CTCGAGGTCTGCGTTGTTTGTGGGTGCATAACATTGTATGATTGACACTTTCCTTCCTTTGGAGTTGAACCTGGCGGTCATTATCCTGGACGAAATCGCCTCCCATTGTATCAGGGCTTTCGTTGCCGTTGGTGACATCATGATAGCCACGCCCTCGGTGTGCGTGTGGTTATCTTCTGGGTGACCGGAGTAGATCACTGACTCACCTGTTGACAATTTGGTGAGTCCACTCCCATTCCATCTGCTCTCACATATTCCCAGCACTTGTATTCCGTATCTTTTCATCTCGTTGGCGATCTGGGCAGCTTTCCAGTCTCGTACATAGTTCGGACGTTCCATGTTCCTACACAGACTTTTTCTTTTGGTGCAAGGAGGTTCATCATACTGAAGTTTCTGTAGCAATTTTGTTTACAGGGTGGGGTTGCTAGCCTCACGCCTGAGAAAAGAATGATTACATTAAGTAAAAGTTTAGAGAGAAGCAACTTTTTGGGTTGCTCCCCTCAAAATCAGAAAATAACGGACAAACAATGAGAACAACATCAACAAAGGAAACAGTTCACAGAAAAAAGGGCAAAAAGCGACGACAACTATACAATAAGACAACATGCAATATAGTTCAGTACAGTTAACTAAAATGATATCTTAACCATAAACTCACTGACTTGGAGCAACTTGAACATATAAATCCAACAATATATACAATTATAGATGTGTTTATGTTTAAAAATTCCACAAATCCAAACAGTGAGTTATGTGTATTATCTGTCAATAAGATTGTATTTTTTGGATTCAGTGTTCGAAAGGTTAATAATTGTGATAATTTCCGCAAACTCTTTGCATAAAATTTTAGAGTAATAAGAGTTTTTATTAATGAGCAAAATGTAGCGTAATAGTCGAAAAGCGCGCGTTCAGACATACGGATAGCTCATCGTTTTCCATCCGGGTTCCATTCGAGGGTCTGCCTGGTATATGGTGTCATTCAACTGTCCCCTTAGCATATTTGTTCGATGATCCGTCGTTAGTTGGTTCTATGCACTTTCAGAGTTTCGTGCTGCTGATCCTTTGACAACTGGCCATTTGACTTTTGGTATCGAGAAAGCGAAGAAAGCAGCTATTAATAAAAGTCTGCAACAAGCTGTTGGAAGTGCTTTCATTAACTTCGCATACATAACAAAAGCTCTGTGAGCTCAATTTCAAGATCGATTTCTTCATATTAGGCTAGAACATGTTAATCTCACTTAACATACATCACTTGATAACAGAAAACAATTGTTTCGATAGAAACTACTTCAAATACCCTAACACACATAAACTCACTGGTAGAGGGAATAAAATTCACATTTGAATGGGAAAATATACAAGGAGAATTAGCTATGGTGTTAGACTGCAAAATAAAATGAATAGAAAAAGGTGAACTGCAGACTAGTGTTTGTAAAAAGCAAATGCATTCTGCTAATAGATATTTAGACTTTAATTCATGTCATCCGTTATCTGACTGTGAAGGCAGGCTTAGTTAAGTGTCAACCAAACCGAGTAGTAGCACTAGGTAGCACAAAAAAGACCTAAATGATGAAATAAAACAGATAGAAGAGGCGTCGGTGTTAAATAACTATCCCATACAATTCATTTGGAAGAACAGTAAAGACCAAAAGCAAAATAAAAATAATTGTGAAACTAATAATGATAACATAAATCAGAGAGAATATAAGTCATCTACTGCTATACCATATAAGGAGGGGAAATGTAAGGCCCTACGTAGGATTCTTAATAAAGCAGGAATCAGGGTGGCATTTAAACCTACAAACCCACTCAGGGACAAGCTGTGTAGGTTAAAGGACCTTGTTGATCCAATTAGACAAAATAATATTACTTACAAAACACCCTGCAATGACTGTGAGTTCAAACTAGTAGGTCGGGGATAATCAGATTGGCGGAACATAAGAATTTGGCTAAGGGAAGAATGGTTGACCCTGAGAAGATAAGTAATTTAGAAAAATGCTGAGCACTACATTGCACTACATGCATTAACACAAAATCACACAACAGTGTGGGAGAGGGTTAAGATTCTAAGAAGTAATCTAGGTAGGTGGAGAGAGAGAGACAACACACACAACTCAATGCTCAAGAACTAAAAGCCCTCAAAAAGCTGAAAAATAGGAAGGACATCGTCATTTTACCAGCCGACAAAGGAAGAACAACAGTAGTCATGGACATAGAAGAATACACCAAGAAAGCTGAAGAACTACTCAAAGATGAAGATGTATATCAACAACTCCCAATTAATCCCATACAAACATTGGATAACCGCATCCAAAGGACCTTAAACAAGCTCACCAAAACTGGACAGATCACAAAACAAGACCAATGGCGAATGAAATCCAATGGACCAGTCCTACCCCGATTCTACGGCAGACCCAAAATACACAAGGCAAATATCCCATTACGACCAATTGTATCACTCCCAGGAACTCCAACATATAATTTATCCAAAGAATTATACAGAAAACTAAAACACCTAACGGAATCTTGCGATCACTCCATCAACTCTGCTATCCAATTCCTAGAGAAAATCAGAGACATCCAAATAGATGAACAAGAAATAATGGTATCATTCGACGTGACAGCATTATATACATCCATCGGACAAAACCTAGCAAAAGAAACCATGGAGCAATTACTTAGCAACGACGAACAACTGCCACAACAATCAAAAATGCAACACACAAGCTGGATGGAATGCATAAATCTATGCCTAACAACATACTTCCAATTCAACGGCCAAATATATGAACAAGTCAAAGGAACACCCATGGGATCGCCAATATCAGGTTTGATTGCAGAAGCAGTGATGCAAAGACTCGAAAACATAATTCTACCAAAGATCAAACCCAAGATTTGGATACGCTACGTCGACGACACATTTGTAATCATCAAAAGAAACGAATTAGATAAAACTCACAACTTAATAAACAACGTCTTCAACGACATCAAATTCACAAGAGAAGAGGAATCCGAGAACAAAATACCATTTTTGGACGTCTTAGTCAGGCGAACAACTACAGGAGAATTAGAAACTCAAGTTTATAGGAAATCAACTCACACAGACCAAATACTGAATTACAACAGCAACAACCCAATAACACACAAAAGGAATAGCATACAAACACTATTCAAGAGAGCAAGGACTCACTGCAGCACTCCCACCTTAAGAAAAATTGAAGAAAAGTGTCTCATGGACGTCTTCCAAAAGAATGGATATCCAAGGAATTTCATCAAGAGACATATACCCCCAAGCCAACCTACCAAAGCAAAAGCCACCAAGGAAAGCACAAAGAAAATTGCCTTACCATATATAAAGGATATCTCAGAAATCACTACAAGACTCTTCAAACCTTTAGGAATTGACGTCGTACACAAACCAACAAAGTCGCTGCACTCAATTCTATGTCAACCAAAAGACTCAACAGCGAAAGAAGACAAAACCAACATCATCTACAAAATAAACTGTAACAACTGCGAAAAACACTACATCGGCCAAAGTGGACGTCCCCTTCGTCTTCGTATCCACGAACATAAGCTAGCCGTCAAAAGACATGATATCCACTCCCTCATTTCACTACACACAGACAACTACGGACATCAATTCGACTGGGACAACGTTCAAATATTAGACAAAGGAAATAACAAGAATGCTAGAGAATTTTTAGAAGCTTGGCATTCCAGTGAATCATCAATCAATAGACACATCGAGATAGACAAAATTTATCAACCAATAAGAAAGAAACTTCATACACAAAGGGTCAAAGTTCAAGTCAAAGAAACAACCGGTTCCAATACAAGTAACCTAGAAGGTGTGAAAACACACACAAACAACCAATCACGTGCAAGGTCACCAGGAGAGATGATTAATAAACTCGTGGAGAAATCTAAAAGCTCACTTCAAATTGAAGTATGCGCTGAAGATGTCACCCAGTAAGGTGATGAAAGCTTCGCAAACTAACCATCCAGCTCAGAGAACAAAACCACATCAAAAAGAGAGAGATTGATTACTGAATCCTGGTTCATCATCGAGTCTACACCCAACACATGCAACAGAAATGACTCAGTGCAAATACCACAGATATGTATGGAAGATATTATTACCACCAGTCAGTCAAACCAGAAGAGGATAGTATATAATCTTAAAATTCTATTTCAATTCAAACACATCACAACGTTCTAACAAGTCACTTATTATGACTGTGAAAACACTCGGCTTATTTTCCATCTGATTGTAATTGATCAATAACACTCGTATTATTATTTCCAAGTGTACATTATCACAAATCGATTTTTATTCAAACATCTGGTCAATTCCACACATGTATATAAAAGAAGGAAAAAGCTGTGTGAGTAACTTGTTATAATTGTGAGCAATAATTTGAGCTCGAAACTTGGTCATCAGTTAATATTACTGTGTAACACTGTGTGATTTATTAAAATAAAATCTTATCCATAATGGAATTATACTAATACCCTGACTAATACATTTTCACTTGATCAGCGTATATACCATTAAAAAGATAGAAGAGGCTATTCAATTAAATTGATCATGACATTTTGTGAGGAGGTGACAGCTTGATAATTCTGAATCTTTTTGTTTAATGCTTGGGTCAACACTCAGCTTCGCCAAATTTTGTATTTTGTTGTATTCCCTGTGGAACACAGGGCTTTGAGCTTCGACTCTAAAGTTTCAGGAGCAGTGTTTTTTCAATGTCATTGGACTGCTAGCTTCACGCGTTATCGAGTTTCCCTCCTCACTATTCGAGATTTAGGTACACGTCAGCTGGAGACGGGACCCAAACGACATGACTTTTCCCAAATAAACTTATCTAATGCGGAACTGTCCAGCTATCTTCTTTTTTATTTCACTGTCTTTTATCATTTTTCTTTTGTATATTTCTATGTATAATAATGAAGTCCTATTATATTCCTTCTTTTTGTGCTCATCAAACCAACAGAAATCATCAGATGATGTCGATGGCAGATGCTGTAGATCAATTTACAGAAAGATGGGAGAATATATTGGTAAGTTATACATCTATTTGTAAATGGTGTTTTATCTTATTTTAATGAGTGATGACCGAGGATGAAGTGAGAACCCAGTCGAGAACGAGGTTTGAACCACGAGTCTATTGACTTTTAGACTATTATTAAATTAATATTGTCTCGATTAGGACTTCAGCCTCACGTCTCCATTGCGTTCGCTTCTCTGCCAACATTTATCCCTGGCTTCACGTCTGCCCACAAGCTTCTATCTCCTCTGCACATCACCTTCTCCATGTCACCCCACCCTCGCAGTGAAGATCAACTCGCCGCTTCTCATTCGGGTTCCACTTGATGGTTTGTTTTCTCAGAGCATGGTCAATCTACCATCATTCCTTCCTCCATATGTGTTGCACAATCGGTTCCTGCTTGGTTGGGTTGATTCGTTCATTGCCAGAGGTCACTGTTGCTGGTCTTTTATAGGCAGTCATCTGATCTTGAGTAGTACTGAGCGAAGGCAGCTGTTGATGAAGGTGTGTAGTTTGTTCGAAGTGCCCTTCGTGATGTGGCGCCAAGTCTCTGGCCCGTACAGTGAGTAGCATTGACTTCACATTGGTGCTGAAAATCCGCATCTTTTTTCATTTTCATGCTGAGTGTTGCTGATCTCCACACAGACTTGAGAGTAATGAAAGCTTGCCTTGATTTCCCGATCCTCGTTTTGATATCCTTATCAATTTCATCCGCCCATTGTTGAAACAATGCACCTAATGTAAGTAGGTGAGGGAGGTGGCCTCTTAGAGATTTCTTCCATTCATGCTGGCTGATAATAATAATAATAATCTACTATATTGCAAAAACAGCACTCATAATACAGAATGGAATTCTCAGCATTTGTCACAATATTCTATCTGATTTACTTAAAATATAAATAAAATTAAAACAAAAGTAACCAGAGGAATTTGTCCACGTTTTGCAATATAAAGTCAAAAATATTCGAAGCACAAATTGAGAGTATTAAATATAGTAATAATAATAACAGTGAGTTTGTTTTAACAGTTTTGACGATTTAGTTTGGAAATTTTAGCATGTTTTAGATCATTGAATCTAATATTCTGTTGATATAGCATAATGGTGAGGGGAAATACAAAATTAACAGTTATTACACAGCTTAAATGATGTTCACACTTATGAAAAATAAATAAACAAAAACAAAAAATTGAGAGCCTTGTAACTGTAAGAAATACAATAACAATAATGTTTGATGCTGTAAAGGTGGAGGAAATGGTTTATTTAGTAGTGCAAAGAAGGTTAGTTAGTTCATGCCTGACGCTATTTTCATCACACAAAGTACGTGACGCCAAATATGGCATAGTGGAATTTTTATACTTAGACGTACATGCATAAAGTCATCTGAAAAGACCTCTTGTTTTACCTGAGGAGACTATAGGTTGGAGCTGTGAGTAGAGTGGATGCTCACAGTCTGACAAAATTCCTTAAGCAAATTCGTTGCATGATATCAAGTGATTGTTGTCTGTTATTGCTGTGGCTGTTGCTGTTGGCCAGGAATCTTCATGATCTCTGTTTTCTTTATGTTCACCTGGAGTGAACTTCTACCTTTGATGCTTCTTCTATAACTGACTTGTTGTTTTTCACTTGCATATCTTTCAGTGCGTGGGAAATCAAACTAGCTGAAACTCTGTCGCATAACTTACAAGATTCTGATGCTGTTATCCAGGTCATTATTTCATTAAGAGATATATATAATCAGCTGCTTGGAATTGTACAGTGATGCGCCTTATTGATTTCAACAATCCAAAGCTATCTCAGATAGTCTTAAACTGTGAAAACAGGGAAATTTAAACTTGAATATAAGCGCCGCTTAGTTCGGATTCCTTTTCTATGATGAATTGTAAAGAAGGCTGGCGGTTGTTGAAAGCAAACAAGACATCATCAAGTATAGTATTTCTGACTAGGATGTTAATGGTTTGACATATTTCGGCTCTCTGTTTCTCTCTCTCCCTCTATTGTGTTGAGTCTATATGAATACACGATTGATGATTCCGCCCTCTAAATACTAGCGAAATAGCTAGTAAGCACTACTCGTTGGTGTGACTACTTTCCAGCTACTTATACCAATCAACAAGTAGTATATATTTAATTCGTGCAAATTTGCAAAATAACAATTGTGATATTAGATATTTGAAGGCCTTCCACCTAGGTTTCGTGCTAGTTGACAATCACAAGTCACTAAGGCGCATCTTCAAATGCCTTGAAGGAACTCATGCGCCTACTTCTGAGATTCGAACCCGTGTCACTCAGTGCTGCAGTCAGAGATGTCACCACTTTATTTTTTTATTTATTTTTATTTTTGATTGCAGCTTGATTCCACACTGTATTTTTGGTACAAGTATGGAATTTTCAGCATGGATATCGGTAGCCCAAATTTTGCAGGCCGACCATAGATATCAGGTGTGCGTCGGCGTGGGCTCGAAGCCCGGACCATGTGCATGGTAGGCGAGAGTCCTAACCACTGTGCCACCGAAGCGACACAGTGGTCTCGATTGACCTCCTGTAGGACTATGATGGGTGTTTTGATTGAACACTAGTAACTAGTGTAACGTGTCTAGTCATTTCTTTGGTGCAGACTGAATTCTCTGAGTCAGATTTTGCAATGTGGCCACCATTATAAAGAGCTCACCATCACGATGCACATTGACTTGATGACATATTAGATAACCCGAATAGCTCAGTGGTTACGTCTCTGACTGCAGCACTGGGTGTCACGGGTTCGAATCTCAGAAGGGACACGAGGTTGCAGATACGCCTTGCTGATGAGTGCCAACTATCACGAAACACAAGTCCGATTGTGCTTCTTTCCGACTGCCTTCAACTATCTTATATATCATCAAACCAATGTGCATCGTGATGGCAAACTACCTAGAATGGTGGCCACATTGCAAACCTGACTGATAGAATTCAGTCTGCACCAAAGAAATGACTAGATACGTCACACTAGTTACTAGTATCCAGTCAAAATAAGAACTGTGTTGAGAAATGTTAGTTTGAGAAGGTTATTTCATCATTTTCCTTGACTCATCAGTAGATTCCAGCTTTTTATGGCAGACTGTTAGACTCTTTTTTTAATGATGACTGCCTTAAATTTTGAAATAAACGGATAATTCTTCATAAACAATGAATGAACATCATCCTTCCAGCACAGAACTTTGCATAGCAGCATACTACTCAAAGAGATTTTTATGAATAGAAATATACGCGAGAAAGAAGGGTCACACAGAGAAATTTGAAGACTGAACGGGTATGACAGATGAAAAAGAGTGAATGCATCTGTACCAATGAGGACAACTTTAAGCCATCGATATGATAGAGAAGATTTGTACCTAAGTTGAATGATTTTGATATGGTTGTGTTCTCTGAGCTGGATAGTTAATTTGTGAAGCTTTCATCGCCCCTACTAGGCAGCATCCTCACCTTAGCGCATACTTCAATTTGTTGAAGTGAGCCTTTAGATTTCTCTACGAGTTTATTGATCATCTCCCTCGATGACTAGATCTTGGACGTGATTGGGTGATTTTGTGTGTTTTCACACTTTCTAGGCAGCTACTTGTATTGGAAATGATGGTTTGTTTGACTTGAACTTTGACCCTTTGTGTGTGTGAGGTTTCTTTCTTATCGATTGATAAATTTCGTCTATCTCGATGTGTGTCTATTGATTGATGATTCACTGGAATGCCAAGCTTCTAAAACCATTCTTTAGCATTCTTGCTGTTTCCTCTGTCTAGTATTTGAACGTTGGTTGTCCCAGTCGAATTGATGTCTGTGTTTGTCTGTATGTAGTGATATGAGTGACAGAGTGGATATCATGTCTTTTGACGGCTAGCCTATGTTCATGGATAAGAAGACGAAGGAGACGTCGTCCACTTTGGCCAATGTGATGTTTTTCGCAGTTGTTACAATTTATTTTGTAGATGATGTTGGTTTTATCTTCTTTCGCTGTTGAGTCTTTTGGTTGACGATCAATTTTAAGCAATATCACTCATAGTCCTGGGCCACTGATTCTTAGCATCCTGAAGAAACCAACCACTCAATCTACACCACTCGCTCTTGGTGTCATGCTCAAACAAAGTGTCAGACACTTGATGATGATTGGTGCCATGTTTTGTTTGACTATTGTTAACACATTTCCAACCTAATGCATATGTCAGCTAATATTACTTTCCGAGTGAGGCAGCAGCCAAGCATACTCAAAAGGTGTTGTAGCTGTCGCAAGTGATGAAGCTTCACAGCTTCATCCATCGACTTACCGTCTTTATATGACCTCAGTATCACTCACCATATTATTACTATTATTATTGTATCCTTTAGTTCCTAGAGGAACATAGGGCTTCAGCTGCGCACCTCCATTGCCTTCGGTTTTCTGACAACTTTTTCACCCTGCTCCAGGTCTGTCCACATGCTTTCATCTCCTCCTCGCATGATCTCCTCCAAGTCACCCTTGGACGACCAACTCGCCGCCTCCCTTTCGGGTTCAATTCGAGGGTTTGTCTAGTGATGTCACTTGATGGTTTCCTCAGCGTATGGCCAATCCATCTCCATTTCTTTCAGCCTATTTGTTTCACAATCGGTTCCTGATTGGTTTGCTCCCAGAGATCCCTGTTGCTGATCTTTTCTGGTCATCTGATCTTGAGTATTGAGCGGAGACAGTTGTTAATGAAGGTTTGAAGTTTGTTTGAGATGCTCTTTATGACTCACCAAGTCTCTGATCCGTATAGTAGCACTGACTTCACATTGCAGTTGAAAATCCGGATCTTATTTTTGATGCTGAGTGCTGTTGACCTCCACACAGACTTAAGGGTAATGAAAGCCTATCTTACTTTTCCGATTCTGGCTTTGATATCTTCGTCAGTTCCGTCTGTAGTTGAAACGATGCTTCCCAGGTAGTTAGATGAAGGAGGTTGTTTCTTTCAGGTTCTTCCCACTTATGCTGATTGTTGTCTGTTGTTGTTGTTGCTGTTGATGTTGGC